AAAAATAATAAATAAAAAAAACCCCACAACTTATTTTTGTTTTCCGGGGTTTTTTTGGTAGCTTCCTTGGGGTTTTCTAGAAAGACTTCCATGCCATTTGCAAATGGGGACAGTTTTCAATTTGTATGCCTTTATTTCATTTTCTTTGACTGCTTATTAGCACTGATTTTGAAGGCTGCCTTTTTCTACATCCCAATAGATGCCCAAGATCAGCTATTCTTTGCTTTTAAAGGGCAGAATCCTGACTCCAAAAGTACTCTGCAAAGCTGCTTCACTACATGGTCTAAATTCCCACCAGTGAGGTTGCATTGACAAGATGCTCAACATCGTTGGTCACACGGGAATAGAGATTAAACTGAAATAAGATACTACATGCGCTCCTCTCATGATGCAGAAGGAGGCCCTTATTCCACCCCCATGGAATGTGAAGTCCTGAAAGCTGTGTCATAACTGAGGGCCCTGGACATGTACACTTGAACCAGACAGGGAGATTCTCACATAAGGCAACAAGCCCATCACAGGCTGTGTGGGCTTTTTATGTCTTGACAAATGTTCCAGACCCAAGGTTCATATTTATATGGCCGAGTGGGGATTATAAACACCATGCACAAGACTTCCCTTCCTAGAATTGCTGTATCCCACAATTTTGATGTTGTATTTAATTTTCAGTTAGTTCATTGTATTTTTATTTTTATTTTTTGTTAAAGATTTATTTATTTATTCATACAGAACTGGGGTATAGGCCAGAGATGCGGAGGGTGAGAGGATTCACCAGGGACAGAGTGGGGAGCAGAACAGGCAGATGGACAAAGTACACTGCTAAGGGGAGCAGCGGGCGGGTCAGGAGAGGTCTGCCGAGCCATGTGGTCGCCTCCGGGGCAGGCGGGAATCGAACTCATGCGGAAGCAGCTTTAGATTCTCAGTGCAGTGCTTTAACCCGCCGCGCCACCAGTGAGGGCCCTCATTGTATTTTTAAACATCTTCCCTGAGATTTCTCCTTCCATCCTTGGATTATGTGCTAATATGTTGTTTAGTTTCCAAATGTTTGGAGATTTCCCTGTTGTATTTTTTTATTGATTGCTAGTTTGATTCTGTGATACTCAGAGGAATATTCTGGATTATTTTAAGTCTTTTACTTTTGATAGATAGGTTTGGGTTATGATCTCTGTCTGTCTGTCTGTCTCTCTCTCTCTATATATATATACACACACACACACACACACACATATATATAAACTTATATATATTTAACTTATAAATACTCCAGTTTCTTGACTGATGTAAAGTTTTGTATTCTTACTTTATTTCCTCATATTCATTGCTAGTATATGAAAACACAACTTTTTTTTTTTTTTTTTT